ACGCCGCAAAAGCCTCTCTCACGACGTGTGTGGCCCAAGGAAATAAGCGCGCCTGCACACACACACACCCGCACATAGCCGAATAAACAGAGAAATAAATAAATAACATACAGCCGAAGCTTTCCCCTTCGGCTTTTCGCTGTTTCGCTGAAAAAGCTTGCAAGAGCCGAGTTTAGTCTCTCGCAAAGCGTGTGCGGCTTCTTCTTCTTTTGCCTTCGTGCTAGCTTTTTGGCCTTTAAGCTTACTTTCAACTCTTTCCTATTTTTTGTTTTGTTTGTTTACCTTCTTCTACTCCGTATGCTCTGGTTTTTAGATAAATTCGTGACTGGTTGGGGATGTAGGTCAGTTTCAGAGGCTGCGTTTCCATACACTGGACCCACTCTCGCCTGTCTATGTTGTTCTTTACACAACTCTCGTGATCTATCTATATGCGAACTGTTGCTATATGTCCTAGTCGTTGTTATTATTCGTTCATCTTGAGCACAGCATCGAATTCTAGCATATTTACAACGGTAAACAAAATATATGTAGCTGACTCTCTTAGTATGGTAAACAGATTCGCTCACTTCAAGCTTTCGGTCGTTACTTCGTTTTGAACAAAAGAAAGTACAAATTTGCATTTGTTTTTAAATTCAGTTATTTCAACAACGTTGATCTATTTGGAGGTGGTTCATTGGTGGCTGGTCTATGTGGTTTATCAATCAATAAACGCTCAACAATATTCTATTGAATTTTAATCTAAACCTTAAAGAAGAATAAGCGCGAGAAACAATCGCAACATACACAGAGTTCCGATAACATGGCAAAAAAAAGCGAAAAAGCTTGAGCATTCAGGTCGTGCAAACACGCTCTTTTGTCTGGAGTTGCCTTAACAAGACTACACGTCCCGTGTAATTGCACCTGCAGTTTCTTTGGTCGCAATAAGGTAATCCAGCTGCACAGGAGCCTTACTCCGCAGAGAAAAGAGAGAAAGAAAGAGAGAGAGAGAGAGAGAGAGAGAGAGAGACAGACAGAGAGAAAGAGAGAGTGGCAGGGGAAGCAGTGAACGCTCGTGAGTCTAATTACAAAAGCAAATCGGGTCCCAGGTACATTCATCCCTTCCTACTGCTGCTTGCCATCGCTACTGCTGTTGCTGCGTCGCAGGTCAAAAGGTGAAGGCGAAGGCGCAACACTGACGCACAAAAAGGATGTAAGAAGTGGCGCGAAAGGGACGCTTTTATCTATTTTCTACTGCCGCTGCCACTGTTACTAGCTATCGTCGCTGTTGATGTAAATTGTTTTATTCATTACCAGTTCTACTTATTGATGGATAAACGCGCCTGTAGGTGGTTGCAGCGCTTATTCGATCTACTCGTTCTTCCGTTACCTTGGCTATCATCGCTTAAGTCTTCTTCTTTTTATTATTGATTTCTTTTTGTTGCAAATATTTTGCAAGCATTGGTTGAAGTTCGTTTCGTCAGCCACGACTAGCTTTCGGTCAAAATTTCTCACGCATCGAAAAATAATTGAAAGTTAACATCGAAGTTAAAATTGAAAAAAATTTTGATTGCTGTTTTCAATTAAACATCTGACAGAATTTCTTGTAAATGAAATGAACAAAATCAAATTCTCGGCAGCAGCTTGGCAATTCATTAAATTGGTAAATAAAACACGTGCTCCCATCAGATTGTTTTAAAGTCGTGGCGTAAAATTTGATTAAAAAGTTTAAATAAAAGAGGATCAAATCAACAGATTGTTCGGTGGAGCGAGAGTGTAAAATAGGCTGTGTGAAATTAGAACGGCCGTAAATTAGCGATGACTGCTGACACGTAACTATCCTGGCAAATGCATAAAATTGACCCGATTCCCTCGAAAAGAGCAAGGAGAAACGAAGCAGTAAAGAAGAAGCCAAAGAGTAATGGCTTGATTTTAAGAACATTCAGGTGTGCTTTGCTTTATGTAATTCCCTTCTCCGGAGTGCAGCACGCTTCTTCTCTTCTGTTTCTAAGAGACACACATAGATTGATCGATTAATTTTAAGCACTTATTTAGCAATGATAAAAACAATAACAATTTATATCTATATATATTTAAAAGGTGATGTAATAGCGAACGCTTTCCTGAAATCAACAAGTGGTAGTAACGTCATCTTTGTGTCAATAGGCGTGCGCATGTCGTCTGTGTGCGACGATCTTTCTTGAAATTAGTCTGGAGGAAATGAAGGATATTACGTTTGCAGAGATACTCTGCAGAGAGAGAGAGAGAGAGAGAGAGATAGATAGAGAGAGAGAGAGAGAGGTCTTCTGCAAGGCGCTTAACGAGTGCGCATTTAGATCACCCTCAATAATTTTGTGCCACAGACATCTTGGAAGGTATTGAAGAAATCAGCATGAGCACCTTTGGTGGATCAGACCAACTAAAAGGAGGAGAGTCGCTCGATTCGACGTTATAGAATAAGTTTTCTGCAATACCAGAATACCCATGCTAGAGTGAGAGAGTGAGAGAGAGAGAAAAAGAGAGACGAAAGTTCAGTAACGAGTTTTAAACCGGCTTCGGGAATGATCACTGCGCGCTATCATTCCTCCGATTTACTAAATCACTTAGCAAGAAGCATTGACAAGACTTTTGCTTCGTTTTCTTCTTTCTTACTTTCGCCTACCGAGCAATTGTAAACCTCGTATTTCTATTAGGTATCACACTAGAAGGAAAAGCATTATTTACCATTCGCTGTGTTTACAATCGCAGAAAGATCGTTGATTAGCAAGGGTAAATAGCCGTTCTTGCAAAGAAGACCATTTCAGACATTGTTCAAGTTGGTAACAAGCACTTGGCTGAACTTGAGAAATCTCTCTTCTTTCTTTAACTAATTGAGCGTGTTCCGCACGACGAGCGCTCAAACTACGGCAAATAATTTTACGACGCTCATGCATGCGTGCGCGTCGAGCCTTTTTCGTTGGCCGGGGATTCATAATTCCAGCCACAAATTCAGGGCTAGCTCGTCGACGGTCCGGAAGTGATTGATCGAATCTGCAGCTACTCTCCGCGAGTACGGCCTCATGAAAGCTTAATGGCAAGTTCTCTCTCTCTCTCTCTCTCTCTCTCTCTCTCTTTCACGCTTTGCCGCTGGCGCTACACGCATCTACTTCTCGCTCGCTGCGCACCAGCGCGTTTAATTGGAGGGCTGGCATTCTGGCCCTTCTTTTGTGCTTCTATTTGTAGTTCCCTTGTTGACCCTCGGCCTAGAGATATAATCAGCTGCTTAGGTCGGATGCATCTGGTGTGCATTATGACGCTCAATTTATCAAAACCGGTTTTGCGGTGACGATGTGCGCTGCTCCTCCTGCTGGTGCTGCTACTGCGGGCTTTTTCAATATTGCGCGGCGACGCATGCTCGCGCTCAATGAACCGAGCCATGAATAATGCATTTGCCAATAGGTCTTCCTCCAGGGACGAGCCGATGTACAGGTCGTTGAGTCGCTCTGATGCAAGCCAACCTATACCTGAGCCCAAGTCTCCCTCACGATAATGTCTTACTTCTCGCTGTATACATACATTACCTATCCCTTGGAATTTCACTGCTCCTGCTTTTTGCTTGCGTGTGCCGTATGCTGATGAGCTACTTTGCTCCTATTGATTTGCAGGGTTGACGTTGCATAACGCTTCAACAGCTATGAATTTTGCGCGCTTAATGCCTTTATTTTTCTCTACGCTACTCTATCTGCGTATATTATGCGCTTCCACGATGGATTCCTTTCAAATTGATTAAATTAATATCGTCGGATTAGGATATCGGTAAATTAGCATGGATTTCGAAACCGGCGACGTTTGTCTGCTTGTTGTCGGAAGTATACGAGATATAATATTTTTTAGATACAAAAGTTCAGATAAAACCAACGTAGTTACTGCGATTAAGAATTGTGCATATAGAACTCTACATTAGCATCAATAGTTTATTGAATGTCTAGCTTATATACACCTCGACAATTCAACATAATCACGCGTATTTAATAGTTGTAGAATATTGATTATGAGAAAAAAACTGAATGTCAGTGAAAAAGCAATAATATCGTTCGATTGACAACATTGCGGAAAAAGAATGTGCAGAGCAGTGGCGTTATTTAAATCAATTTTTTCTGAACTTCCAAGCTGTAAGAGATACATTTAAGAAATAATAGGTCATGACTTTTGCATAACGCTCATGATTTTTTATTTACTTTTAATGCATATCAACGATATTCGTCGTGCGTTCAAGAATCAGTCAGTGATTCGCAGTCGTCCGGTTTACAAGCATTTTTATTTATTTTCGTATTTGGGCATTATTTACTCGCAAACGATTACCATGATTTACGTTCTATCGTTCACAGTAATTGTTTTGATGACCGCGTTCAATATTTTTGTGCGGTACAGAAGGAAAGGCAGATTAGCTAATATAATACCAGGACCTTCTCCTTATCCATTTATTGGGAATATGTTATCATTTGATATAGGAAATCCAGGTAAATTTTTCAAACATATTAGTAATTGTGTATTAAATATCGATAAAAATTAAATTTAACGATGCAGTAAAATTATGGGAAGTAATACGCAGTATCAGTCACAAGTGGTATCCAGTAACGCGCGTGTGGATGACAACGGAAGCTCTATTTAGTATTCGACATCCCGATGATTTCGAGGTGAAATGTTTTTACAGTCCAATCAATTTTGTTAATTTTTATTGTGGCTCAAAAATTTCACCGAGATTGTTTTAAGCTTACAAGCTAATTATTTTTGAACGCAGATTTTATTTACTAGCCAAAGAGCTATTACAAAAGGCTTTACGTATAATCATTTACATTGTTGGCTACGAACTGGTCTTCTAACAAGTACAGGTACCTTTTTTAACATTGAATTTATTAACGTTTCAATTGATATTAAAATTGAATAGAAAAATTATTGACATTCAGGCGAAAAATGGAGAAAACGACGAAGAATGTTAACACCGGCATTTCACTTCAACATTCTACCTAGGTACATGGATATTACAGTAGAACAAGGAGAACAACTCATCCAGTATCTCAGTTCCTCTGGAAAAGAAACGGTCGAGTCTATATTCCCGCTTATCTCACAATATACTTTAAATATTATTTGTGGTGAGATAAGTATTCAATGTTGCAGCGATAAGCGGCAAGATGAGTTCACTTTTGATTACGTTTTGTAGAAGCTGCAATGGGTTTGGATTTGAGTAAAATAGATCAAAAGATCACGAAAAAATACAAAGAAACGATTCATACGATCGGAAACTTTGTCGTTTGGAGGTAAGACTAATATGCTAATTAGATGCATGATATTTTTACACAAATTATTATTTTCTTTTATTTACAAATCAAGAATGCCAAGGCCTTACATCCACGATTGGATGTTAAGATTAACCCCCTTTCTGAAATTTAATCGAGATATGAAAAATGCTTTGTCAGTACTTCACGATTTTACTAATAAGGTAATGTATTTTACCAATGACCAATAATCAATTTCTCATTTTAAAATGGTTGATTTTTAATGTTAGGTAGTGCAAGAACGTCGAAAGTACCATGAAGAAAATGGTTATAACTATTTACAAGATTTTTCCGATGAAGCTCAACACTCGGAAAAAAATATATATATTGGTAAATATCAAAACAAAATTTTCAGAGGAAAAAAAACATATTCGTAAATATTGCAGGTCGTAAGAAAAAATTAGCTATGCTTGATTTGCTTTTGGCGTTAGAAAAAGACGGTTTGATTGACGATGAAGGCATTCGAGAAGAAGTCGATACCTTTACATTCGAGGCAAGTATTTTTCACGTATTTGAAAATTAATACATAAATGTATGGTTCATATAAAAAAAAAACATATTGCAGGGTCACGATACGACCGCAGCCGCCATAAGTTATACTCTGATGCTGTTAGCCGAAAACAAAGATGCTCAGGTATTTCCTCCATGGCATTCATTATAACTTAATAAAAAGAAAAACTTAGGATGTATTAAGATTATTAAGATTGTACATTAATATTGCGTTTATCGAAGGATGCAGCCAGAGCTGAAGTGACAGCCGTATTGAAAAATACCAATGGGAAAATTGGAATGAGGGAAATCCAGGAGTTTAATTATCTTGAATGTTGTATCAAGGAATCTATGCGTCTGTATCCACCAGTGAGCACAGTTTTCCGTCAAATACAAGGCGGTGATATACAACTAAGTAAAACACCTAATTTAATCAAATTATGATACTATTTAATATTGCCACTTCAAGCGATTAATGTTTTAAGAACACGCGTTGATTCCTGATGGAGCTCACGTGATTTGTCAAATTTTCGATCTTCACAGAGATGCCAACTTTTGGTTAAATCCTGAAAAGTTTAATCCCGAGAGATTTTTAGCTGAAAATTCACAAAATCGACATCCATTCGCATATTTACCTATGAGTGCTGGTCCACGTAATTGCATAGGTAACAATTAACTTGTTAATACAACATCCTCGTGAATTAAATTAATGCATACATGATTGTTTTGTTTCAGGTCAAAAGTTTGCCATGAACGAGCTCAAGTCTTTGATTGGCAAAATTCTATATCATTTCCATTTGGAGCCAGTCGAGCCGATTGCCGATATGAAATTAATCGCTGATATAATATTGCGACCGTCTGAGCCGGTTCACTTGAAATTCATTCGAATAGATAAATGAAGCAAGTGAGTTGGATAGTTTTCATATTGATATGCCTGACCTTTCGTCGGACATGATGATTATGAACGTTTGAGATATAGATGTGCTTGTTTAATTTAAACTCATTGCTCGATAATTTTGGACAATTACTACGTGGTGAAATTTTATTGTTACACGTGAAACCTCACTTTATCATTCTTACATTATGTAAATACACAATAAAAAAATGAGAAACAACTGTATGAATTTATGATAAAATAATAATTGACGACACATGTAAGATTTATAAGATACGAGCAATGCTTACAACTAATGAAAGTGTACGCTGTAGGCCTCAATTATAGATATTATTGCCAAGCTATAATTATGCTCAATTATAAATTATTGCCAAGTAAATATTCCACAGTGATATCACAATCCTCAGGCCATCCGTCACGTCAGCGTTTTTAGGCAAAAAGCTCTATACGGGAGAGAAGGTGGAATCTTACATTTACTTATTCCGTGATTTCTTCTGGCGGATTTTAGATGCTGAACCGCGGTAGTTGCAAGAAACGAATGATCGTGCTTTCCTCTAGCTAACGTCGTGGCTCATAGCCTCGCGGCTAATGATAATTGCCGCATTCACCCGATAAACTTTGACTGTCCCAAGCTCAAGCGAGTAAAAATCTCATTCGCGCATTACATATCGTATAACGCGCGCAATTGGATACCGGTTATAACGACCCCCCGTCTGAATTTCCGCCACCTGAGGGATTTCACGGGAGAACAGTTGCGTTATATATTGCGCTGTTTTTGCTTGCCTCGCTACTTTTTCTATTCTCATCTTGGCCTTTGTTTTTGGCTTATAGCGTGAAAATTTATCTTTCCAAAATCAGACTTTATTGTTTTGAAAATGTATTGAAAAGTCGAATGAAACTTTACCATTGAAAGGTCGAACGGACAATTTGATGTAGTTGAATCGAAGTTCGAAACTCGTTTTCCCAGAAACAATGCGGTTCCCGTAACTGTGCTGCTGCTCGCAGTTATGATTTACAAGTTTTCAATCAAGAACATTTTGATTGGAAATTTCCAAGTTTCTGATCGATATGGAGGTCGCGCGCGCACAAAATCTACCTACTTCCTATATATACCCGCACACTTAGTGCAGAGTACGCGCTTTCGTCGACAGTTACTTTAACGAAAATTGATTAACCGTTTAATTCACCTTACTCTGGATATACACTCGTTGCAATTTCATAACTCTCAGTCAATGCACCGATCCGTGGCAAGTTTCTGAATTTTGCAAATATTCATTATCTCTCGTACATGTACCTTCGACCAGTACGTTTACATGCTCATTTTAAATTCTCGCATAAATTTCTTTCTATTTCTTGGAAATACTCGACTGTTATATCAGATATGAAATAACGTAAAATGTTCACTTTTAAAATTTACTCTTAACGGCGGCCAAAATATTTGAGAGATAAATTTACCGCTGATTATCGGAATAATTGCAGCTCAAAAAAAGGAAATTAAATGAAAAAGTCAGTAAAAAATGAATGATTAACTGGATTGATCGCCATTGAAAGTTAATTGACGAACGATAATTCATAGAAGAAACAATCGTTGAGTTTGTGATCGAATCATATTATTCGAACATTTACTCAGCGTGTATACGTTCTGGCGTGCTGTCGCCATAAAACCGCATATGCCATTGTAAAACCGAGAACATAAAAAAGCCAGACGCTAAACATTTATTCTGCAGATTTCGTTTAATCGCTTGAACATCCATGTACGAAGCTCGTAGAAGAAAGATTTCCGCCCGCTCGATGATAAGTTGCGCCCGTGTAAAAATGCCGACGAGGTGAATGTGGGCAGCAAAAGGAAATTACATTTGAGCGCGCGCAGGCGACGTTACAAATGCGTTTCGCCCACGTCTTTTGCTACGGGGCTATTTTCGTGGACGGCGTTATATATGTATGCGTACGTGAGCGCGTTCGCTCTCTTTCTTTATTTTCCGGCATTCGCTACGCGACTTATCATTCGTCGCGTTCTTTCTTTTTTCAATGGCGAAAACCGCCGAAATATTCTTAGCTCCACACGCGCGACTGTTATTGCCGGGGTGGCACCGGAAATCGAGCCAAAGTAATGACCGAACTGCTAGTACCGAAAGCACTCTTTCCTCTTGGTTTTCAGCATCGAGCACTTGGCGAATTATGCGACGGTGGCAAAGACGATGCTTTTGACTTTGGAAATATATGCTGTCGTTTGGTGGTATATGAAAAGTTTGAAAATACTTATTTGATTTTCGTTTCAAGTTCTACTCAACAGCAAAGGATTCATTCTGAGCGAGCGTTCTTTATTCGAGAACAACCTCGAGAGAAAATCCCCTCACTCGTCGTAAACTTTTCATTGACATTTTCTTTGTGAGCATTCTAATGGAAAGTACATGTAAATCATAAAAGCATCTCACATACACACACACCTGTCCCTTTATCGCCATATATTTTTCACGCCCCCCCCCCCCCCCTATGGATAAAATATAAAACATCCGTTGTTTATGTCGTCAATTTTATTGTGGATCTAGATAACAACTGTAACGAATTGAAGGGACGATCGATCGATTATTCAGGAGATCGTATTTACAATGACTTACGAGTATGGCATAGGTTTCTATTCTCTGTCTCGCCTGCTTCCCTATATCGAATGATTGCTCTGCCTAGGCTTCTCTGTACATAGGCGCGCGGATACACGTGCACGCTCGGCAATTACGTCCCCGGACGAATAATATGCGTAACAGCTACTAGGATGATGATAGCTTCTGCTACGGAGAGAGAGAGAGAGAGATCGGCTCTTGCATATATAGTCCTTCGGAGAATTAACGAGCGAAACATATATACTGTCAGTGTATCTTGAAGGTTAGCTTTTGGGCTATTCTATCGCGAATTGCTTCCTTCGCGCGACGGCGACGACACACTCTGGAATTGAATGTGTAGCAAGTACGCGCGTTTCGTAATAGCGAATTGAATTATTCACCGGCAACGAAATGGAGATCAGGGAGTAGTGTACTTGTGTTTATTTGATTGACGCATGGAATATTTATTGCCTGTTGAGAGGCGTATGTTGGAATTGGAGCATGTATTGATTATATCAAATGTTCAGAGAGAGGAAGAGACAGCATCGCGCTGTCCTATTGATATTCGAACTTTCCTTTACACAATTTACCCTCTGGCTAACTAACTCGCGCAATTACGAAATAATTAGGTGCATTATTAATTATCCCTCGCATGGTACGCACACTGCAAATGTTTGAGTCTTGGTTAAAACGAGGGATATGAAACTTGCCTAATTATACGAAGTATTCGATGAATTCAGCACTATTTGCGTTACTTGTTTTCATGGAATTGTTCGTTTATGCCAGTCGCGCGTACACGTTTACTTGTATGAAACGCGAATATTATAACGTAATTTTCGTCGAATCCACGAGAAGACGGCAGTACAGCAGCTGGCCGAGAACAGCTGATTCTGTGGCGAGCGCGTTTTGGTTCTGGGAAGCAAGATACGTCGAGGAATTTCGCAGAGGCAGAAGCGCGCGGCGTGCGTTCGCTCGGAATAATGAAGCACGCGAACGGAGACCGATCGCCGTACGTACTGACCGACTACTTTGCCGCTAGCTGCATTGCTGACGCGCGAGAGCGCGCTGAAAGGACCCTCAATATATATCTGTGCAGGATGCACTGCGCTGGCATTGCGTTGTGCAGGTGCTGAGATTGAATACCACGCGCTCGCCGATAGATTGCTGGCTCGTTTACTAGACGAGTGTGCAATATAATCCTTTTTTTATTGGAAAGTTCGCTTTAATGAGATTCAATTTCGACGTTTCTATTCCAGTTTTACAGAGATGAATTTTTGCGGCTCTCCCTAAAAGCTCTCGTTCGATAGACTGTTTGATGCGCGGATTAAGCTCTCGGAAATGGTCAAAACTTGAGCGAGTCCGCATTGCGCCGCAGAGCGATAAGGTAGTATTTATTTCATTAGCTTGTGATGCGATTTTCAAACTTGCTCTACGGTCTGCATAATAAAACGACCGTGGCTGAATTAGTTTCTCTTTCAAACTACTTTTCGAAATGTATTCGCCGGAAAGTCGTATAATTTTCATTATAAATTCACGCGCACGTCTGATGAAAATTTAAATGGTAAAAATAAATAGAAAAAATCCAATAGAAACGTGGCGAAACTTGCAAATTACATGTAAATACACACAAACACATATAATTATCAAATTGCAAATCGAAATTACATTGGTATATAGTTCCCAACTAATTCTGAAATAGCAAAACCGTATAGGAGAGAGAATCAATAACGCACAGCGAAACTCGCGATCCTGAAATAAGCCAATGACCCGTCGAATGTTTAGAATCGTGCGACAATTGGATTTGGCTCTCTCTCTCTCTCCCTCTGTCTATCTGTCTCTCTCGTAACAATGCAATTTCACTTGTTAATCACGCGATTAATTCATTACGATACATGCGCTCTCACGTAGGTATATGTAGACGAATTGGCTCATTTCGCTAACACGTGCTTTAAACCTTACTTGATTGATAATGAAATTTAATTAAATATTCATTGCCAAGGCAGTTTGTTCCGGCTAATGACTATTGTTCAATGTTATCTTTACGCATGCACAAGCGTACGCATGTATCGTTTGATCAGCGATGACATTTTATTCGAAAGCGTAGCGAACCGATTAATTGCCGCGATTGCCGTATATAGGGCTGTGCAAATATGTATTGTCATTAGTCATGATGATGATTATTGATTTACCGATTTCGCCCATAATATGCGCGCAATCTTTCTATGAAAGTTATAACGAGCTCTACAGATCTATCTGTTTGTCGAGTACCATTTTCATACGTATCTGCGATGATCAAAGAAAACAATTATTTGTACGTCGAGGATAACGAAAAGGCATAAGGATTTTTTTAAAAATTGGTATGTCATTCGAGCGACGAATTATTTTTCACCGATGCTTCCTTTCTCTACCATAACAAATTAATTACTTTATAATCGAACATAAAGGGCTTCTTTCATGAAAGAGTTATCTCGGCATCGAATAACATATTATTACAAGATTTTCCGCGAGCGTTTTAAATTATTTTCGAAATACGGTTATTACCACGCAGAAGAGGGTTTCTCGCTAAAACCCGAAATTTTTTTTTTCGATGTAAAAAAAGCTTTTCAACTCATTCGCTATGATTAATTCACGTATTAATTAATTCACGTATTGACTTCAAATTGAAACTCTCGGGCAGAGCCGCGACGTACGAGTGAATCTTCAAAGCGAAC